TAGTTCTGTTTGAGGATTGGTTCATGACTTGTTTCATTCCACGAGCCAAGGAGTATTGTCTGCAACAAGGGATTGCATTCAAGATTTTGTTAATTTTAGATAATGCTCCGGGAGACCCACCACAACTGGACGACATGCACCCTGATGTTAAGGTAGTCTACATTCCACCTAACACTACCTCTATCATCCAACCCATGGATCAAGGTGCTATTGCAGCTTTTAAAGCGAATTATTTATGTACGACCTTCGCTCAGGCTGTTGCTGCTACTGAAGGTGAGAAAATGCTCAAGAAAGTTTTGGAAGGACTACAACATTTTGAAATGTATAAAAAACATAGCTGCAGCATGGGATGAGGTTACAGGTCAGTGCATGAATGGAATATGGAAGAAAGTCCTGAAAAGATATGTGAACAGTTTCAGAGGATTTAATGAAGATGAAGTAATTTCTGAGATTAGTAGTAAGATTGTGGAGTTGGGTAAACAGCTTGAGTTAGAAATTGATAATGAAGATGTTGAGCAGTTGGTTGAAAGTGTAGCAGAAGAGCTAAGTAACGAGGATCTTATTGAACTGGAAGCACAGACCAAGGCAGAGGAAGAAGACAGTCTAAATGTAAAAGAAGAACCTGCACCCCCCCAAAAATTTTACAGTGAAGCAAATGGCAGAGGCATTTGCTACAATTAATAAAGGGATGCAAATGTTTGACGGAATGGATCAAAATGTTGAGCGTTTTGCCAAAGTTGACAGAATGGTCCAAGATGAACTTGCTTGCTACAGGTAGATTTATAATGAAAAGAAAAAGCAAACTGTGCAGTCTAAATTGGACATCTATTTTAAGAAGTCCCCCATTGCTGTCTCCTCACACCCCACCAGTGCTCCTCTTCACTCCCTAAAGATGATCCAATACCTTCCACCAGCAAGTTTCCCCTGTATATTAACCTGTCTGAAGAAAGTAACATTGATGACCCACCCAGCCCTGTCTCCTCCTCTGCTTCATCCATGTATAATTAGAAAATTATGGGGGCCCTGTGTGCATTCAGCTGACTACATTAAAGGTAAGTGCACAGTAACACTGTATCCGTTTTTCATTATTGATTACTTTTACTGTACAGTATTTCATTTTAGATTTTCTATGTATTATTTTTTGCATTTTCGACTTACGACCTGGATTTGGGTTCCTAACCCCATCGTAAGTCAGGGAGCAGCTGTATATGTTTGGTAATTTGAAATTGCAGTTCAGATTTTTCCTTTTTTAGCCAATCATTGTGCCTAGGTGTAACATAGCCTCTAATGCTAAGTGGGGCTAGGTCTAAGCTCTAGCCTAAACCAAGTGTTACAGCCACAGTAGGATAAAGTAGAAGAGAGAGAGAGAAAGGGAGACAGAAGAGAGACAGAGGGAGTGTTTACAACAAACTTTACTGAGGTGTTAAATGTGAAACAGATGGCCCTCACCTAAGGGCTGACTAACTCGCTCCCTGTGGGGTTCAGAAGATAGTTTCTAGCCGTCCAGTGAGTTAACAAGTCAGGGAGCTAATAAGTCCTACATTAGACCCAAAACACCTAAATTTTTATATGGTTTAACACCGCCACTCTACTCAAATATATCATATGTAGTTGTTAATAGTGAAGGAACGTACGAGTGAATTAATTATCTCATATGTAACATAGGTAATTTGTACTCCGCAGGTTTTGACCGAAATAAGAACAATCGAGTCCTACGTGCAAGGGTCTCATTATCCCACAGTCGCTCATCAGGCGGTTAAACCAAGTATCATTTACTTAACCACCCAATACATAGTAAATCATACATTTGCAGATTAAGGAACGATACACTATATAAGCTATGTTTAACCTCACTTATTGACTAAGTTTGACCTCACTGACCATATAGCCTATGCTGAGCCTAATAACTTCCCCAAAACAAGCTAAGACACTTGACGACACATAATTAGTGCCTCACACTTAACTTCTATATTAGGCTTACATATGGTTGTTGAAAAAAGGTTACAATAATGGTGTTGTAGGGCTACTTGTCTCAGTTCATATGGAACCAAGTAAATAATTACTCATGGTTTGATAATGCAGATATATATGTTATATTTTTTTGTGGTTATAGGTAGAGGAGTGGTCTGAGGGAGTAAGTTCCCCAAGGGCATATTAGCTTTATATATATATATATATATATATATTTTGCATTATATTTTATATTTAGCTTGAATATGTTAAAAGAGGTAGCTAGATTTTTTTTTTTCCTTTTTTTTTTTTTAAATTACTCCTGTTATTCCAGGTGACAGTAGGTATACCATTATAGCCATTCCTCATGACACCATTCGTAAACCCCTCAACACCTGCAGAGAAGTCGTATAACAGAAGTCGTACCAAAATCAAGATTTAGATGCCTTCACCGTTCTGGCGGATAACTTCAATACGATCCTGCCAAATGTGCCAAAATTGTAATTGATTACTTTATTTTTACTTTTATCCTCTTCACCACTGATCGGCTCGTTAGCCACTTGGGCGATCGGTCACGTCTCTGTCACACATTGTTGGCAAGAACTAGGCATGTACTGGCTCTCTGTTACGCACTGTTGGCAGGTACTGGGCATGCACCGGCTCCTGAATGTACCTGAACCTGCTCCAGTGTTGGTCAAGTCTGGTCTTGAAAAGACTCACACTCGGTGCCGTCACAACACTCTCTAGTAGATTGTTCCATGAGTTCACAACTCTCACTCCGAAAAAGTTTGTCCTCACAATTTTCTGGACTTACGGCTTCTTCAATCTTGAGCTGTGACCCCTTCTGGGGTGGGCGTCCACCAGCTCCAAGTAAGGACACTCGACTGAGTAGTGCCCCTTGAGATGCTTATACACCTCAATTACCGGTAGGTCGCCCCTTGTCCGTCTATAGTATAAGCTAGGCAAGTTCAGGAGCTCCAATCTCTCAGGGTTGTTGAGGTGTTGAAGTGCAGGCACCAATGGTGGCCCTCTTTTAAACATTTTCAACCAACTGATAGTCCCTAGCATATGTCGGGGACCAGACGGGGTGACAGTACTCGATATGGGGGAGCACTTCACTCTTGTAGATCGTTACGAGGGACGGACCGTCTAGATATCTGAAAGACCTTCTTTTAAGACCCAATAATTTATTTGCCTTATTTACCTTATTCTCACAGTGGCCCGAGAACTTCAGCTCATTGAATCTCAGCAGCCATTTCTTCGACCTTTCTTGGAGCCCACAGAGGTCCTTCTGCAGCCTGCTTGGTTCTTGATTTCCTGAAATAACTTGGCATCATCGGCAAACATTTGTATGAAGTAATGTACGTCAGGCATGTCATTTATGAAACAAACAAACAACAGCAGACCCAATACACTGCCCTGTGGTACCCCGCTTGTGACAGGTACAGATGATTTCGTGCCATTAATCACCACACACTGCTTGTGGTCATGTAGAACATCTTCTACCCACAATAGGACATTTCCCTGCATTCCGTACCCTTCCAGTTTGATTTTCAGCCTTTCATGGAGTACACTGTCGAAAGCCTTGGCAAAATCTAGGTATATATTGTCGATATTACCACCAATTCCAGAATATGGGTCCAAATATCCAATACCTTGAGCTATTGTGTTAAGCAGGAGCGCCCCGGCATAAAACCGTGTTGGCAATCCTTTACAAGGTTGTTTCGTGGTAGATGTTCCATCACGGCATCTCTGATAATACTCTCGAGTACTTTACATATTATGCTGGTCAGGCTCACCAGTCTATAGTTGTTCATGGAGTGACGATCGCCCTTCTTGAAGATAGGACTCACATGAGCTATTTTCCAATCACTGGGGACCTTTTGGTCATCGAGGCATTTACAGAACAGGATCTTCAGGGGCTCGGCAAGCTCGTTGCACAACTCTCTTAGCACTCTGGGATGCACCATGTTTCCTTCTTCACAATTATTGTGTAATGAGAAGGGTACCACTTCCCTATGACATGGTCGACAATGATGGAGAGATAGACAATCCAGCTGTAGCTGTTGCCGAAGCAGGACCGGGCCAAGCAGTCAGAGCCAATATAGTTCGTAGTTGGTAAGTTAATGATGTAAAAGCACATACAGTGATCCCTCGATTAACGAAATTTCAGTTAACGATTTACCTTCCATAAGATTCTTAACTTCGGTTAACGAGCAATCCCTCGATTAACGAGTTTTTACGAGCCGACTTCAACATGTTTTCGCTTGCATTTCGCGGTCCACCAGCTGTAGTATTAGTCCGCCAATACAGTAATCGGTTTTAGGGCTTAAATTCCTTACTATTTTAGTAAATATCAAGAAGTTTATACTATTCAATAATTTTAAAAGTTTAATATTAACTTTTTTAGTCATTTTAACAATTATTGAACATAATTGAAGGTAAAGAAACTAGTTTCTGGCGTGCCATCCAGCCTGTTAACACACCAGACAGGCGTGAGTCTCTCCCTGTTTTCAGTGGAGGTAACATCTTGCTTGAGACTCTCCAACTGAACGCTTTTTTCTGTGTTTCCAAGCAAATTATTGGTGATTTTGAAATTTATTTTACATATTGACAATATATAATGCAGTGCAGTGTTGATTTAAAGAAAATAATCTTGAATTACACCAAGAGAACTAAAATTTTATGGGTGAAATGGTGCCATGGGGTGACTTCTCTTCCACCCCAATGCCTTCTCTTCTCCCTTCTCCTCCACCCCTATTCTAATTCCCATCATCATCATCATCATCATCCAGGAGCCTTCTACATACACACCTCAAAGTAAGTGTACTTTTCTACCTTTTTTGTTGAATTTTGGCAATTTTCGGTGAGCTGGAACCAATTACCCAAAAACCCATTGAAACAATGGTTTCGGTTAACGAGCAACCTGCTGGAGCGGATTGTGCTCGTTAACCGAGGGACCACTGTATTAATTCACCGAGTTTTTTTTTCTAAGTTTTATAAGTCTTTTTTTATTACAGTATACTGAGGTAATGCAAATAAAACTTAAATTGATTTCACTTGTATTTTCAATTTACATAATAAAATAAATTATTAAACTCCTTTATAGAAAATAAAGAAAAATAAATTGGCTATCTTTTACCTTCATATGATAAACATTTGATATATGAAAATATCTACTATATTCTTGAGCAAAATTGATTACAATACAGTACCTGTATACTTTTAATATTATTAAATAACCAAGGCACTCAAGCTTTGAAGAAGAAAAAAGCATTACTGTATATAAAACATATTTGAAACTTTAAACAAAAAAGAAATATTGCAACTGTTCGCTTCCTAAGCTACACAATAAGACATGGGTCACCACATCCTTCTGAAAAAATAATACAACTACCTGTACTGGTAATTGTTTCAAGTTTTAAGATTTAAAAATGGAATACTGTACAGTAAAATTTTCATGTCTAAAATTACTCTAGGAACTATCAGGAATAGAAGGTAGCTGCATCAATACCCGTACATTAAAAGAAACTTGTAACAAAATACTGTACAACTAAAAGTAATAAAGAAAAGAAAATAGCAAACTCTTGGCTTCATAAACTGTACAAGTTCTGAAAGAACCAGTGCAACAACTTGCTCTATGGAGAATTTCATATGTGTGGTGTATAGCAATGATTACAGTAGGCTGTTGGTGAAATAGCAACAGTATTTCAATTACAACCTACTTGATTCATAACCCTTAAATATTCACTAATCAATAAAGCAAGTTGAACTGGAAAATAACTACATATTACAAAATACAGAAACATATAAAAAATAAAATTAAGTACACGACTCCAGCTTCTAAGCTATACATTTGATTATGAACTTTTACCCAAAACCTGGGTAAACAATATCCGTATGAGCACTGCAACACATGTTAATAGTTTACAAGTGTGTGTCTTTCACTTACCTTTGTGATTTGAACTCACTTATGGAGAGGTTAATATTCCTGTTATATTCTCATGACTAGTATAGGGTGAAAGTTACACAATTATTTTACATGCCCTGTCTTTTTTTCATATTAATCACTCAAAGGAAAAATTTTAATAAGTGTATGATGACTTTTCAACTACACTATCATCACATTGACCAAAAGTAAAGGACTTCTAGGAGAAGTAAACAACTCCACATACCCTAAACACAAACAGTATCATGGGTAGGACTTTTCGACTGCACAGCTTTTGCAATGGTTTGCAGTGCAGATGCAATGCACTCAGTGTTAGCTACAAGTTTAACCATGTTGGTTGAAACTTCCTGAACAGAATTAACCAGCTCTACCAAACTGTCCCTCATTTGTGACTGAACCTGAAGCACCTCCGGAATAAGATATGCATGTTTTAGGGCAGAATGGGTTCGTGGCCTTCTGTCACTTATGCTCTTGCTTTGACGTGTACTTGGTAATGGAGATGGACCCGGTTCATCAGTGGGATCACAAGTTAAAGTTGACCTAGTCTGGTTAACCTCAGCTGTGGCAGAAGGGGTATGAGACCTACTTCGCTGTTCCGTGGATGATGAAGATTCCTGACTGCTTTGATGTGATGAAGTTTCAGGTTCTATAAGCTCAATGGGTACTGTTATTTCATGTTCCTGCATATCCTCAGTCAGTATGATGGTTAAAGAATCCTCTTTCTCTTGAACGGGCCTAAACCTAGATTCCTCTCTTGAATGAATAGCCGTAAACCTAACTCCTGAGGGTGCAGGGGTTGGCTCTCTTTCTTCTTCTGGAAAAAATATAGAATAGCTTGATTTAAGTCTATGTTTAGGGTATGCTTGAAAATATTATAATTACAAATATATTTCAGTTCATACGTAGAAAAAAGATTGGTCTGAAGAATAGTGTTGAGCCTCCAAAAGTATGTGTAAAAAATATTGTTTTAATTGTAAATATCAACTAAATGAAACTTGGTTACTTTATTATAAATGGATTTAATTATAATATAGAGCATTTACTTTCAGGCGGTCCATTTCTTATATTTTCACTTCTCATTTTTTTTCAATTAAAATATGATTTATAAAAACATGAAGCATCATCTAACTTAGGGAAGCAATAAGCCAGCTAAAAATTAAACCAATTAACTAGTGTTGTTTAATTTTTAGAACTACAGTAGACACAAATTCAGTATATTTCAAAATTAAGATTTAACCTATAAAACTGTAAAAAGAGCACCAAAAGAATTTTTTCAATAAAAACAAGGACAGAAAATAACAAAATATATATCAGAGGGTTGGAAAAGTATGTTTAGTGAATTACCATCAATAGGTTCTTCATTTTCCAAAATCCCTGGAATCCCATGAATAGAGACTGACTCTAAGAGCTGAAGAACTGCTTCTTCAATTGAAGTGTATGTTGTTTCAAAATGGGGGTCGCCTCCTTCAAGAGAGAAAAACAATTTGCTGAAACTTTCTTACTGTGAGCTGTGATTACACACACTGTAGCTACTATGTTAAGGAATCTATTGAAATAGTTCCATCCATTCTAACCTAACCTAGTACAGTATTGTAGCTGTATCCTCCCTAAGGGGGGGGGGGGGCTTTTCCCCTAAAATTCTCCTCTATGTCAAAAGTAAATTAGATTTACTGTAACAAACATTATGGGGTAAAATAGTGAAAAACAATAATTGCAGCCACACTTTCTCAACCTGTATTGGTTGTAAACTCTTAAGGTAGAACATCATTGCCTATAAGCCTAACAAATTAAGATTTGCATATTAATCTATCCAAAATATGAAATTAAACCACCCAATGAATCAAAATTATCACAATAAATTAAAAAACAAACAAAAAAACATGAGGAATTCTATGGCAAGCTACATATTATGACCTTCATTACCGTCGGAAATAACGTAATTAATAATATGTAGTTGATAGCACTAGCCCAGTGGTTCTCAACCTTTTTCACTCCATTCCCTCCTTGAGGAATTTTCAAAATCCTCGTGTCCTCCTTCAGTTTTCTCCCAAACCCCCCCATTCGGTCCTATCACCACTTGCAAAGGGATAACACACGGACACGTACTGAATAAGTCAGTTCAGCAGCTTGGTCCAGCACCTGTCACACAGACAGGGACTGGACCTGTGAAATCTTAAATAATCCGGAAAAAATGAAAAAAAATAGCACCAGAGTATGTAAATATTAAAATTGTATTGTCGTTATGATTAAACAAAATGACAAAAAAAGAATGAAAATTCTCTTCTGCCAAGTCAAAATAAGTAATACAAGTTTTGTTTAATTCAGATTCCCAACATTATTTGGAAACGTACAATTTATAACAGCTCGCCGTGGCTCCCTTGGGGGCCATGGCCCCCAGGTTGAGAACCACTGCACTAGCCAAACCTACCTAACCTTACCTAACTTCCTTACCAACGGGTGGGCTCCGCCACCCTGGACAACCCAGAAGGATATTAAATATCTCTGTTTTAGGTTATTTGCGACACATGACATAGATGAATAGTGTTTTAAAATTGTCTCAACTATATGATAGGAATATTAAGAAAATCCAAAAGTTGTGGAGCAATTACAAGCAGTAATACCGACTAGCCTTTGGGTTCATTTATCAGCTGTACAGTTTTTACTAATTATTCACGCAGCAAACTTCGAAGAACGATGTTCCTTTTAATGAATGTGATCATATAAGGAAAATATGTGTATTAATTCACAATGAAGAGCCTCCATACACTACTTCCTTGAGTTTACAACCATCTCAAATCATATCAAGCCTCAGGAAAAAAACAGTTAAGTTGGTTTCAGAGCGGAAATCAACCCATTGGCTAACAAAATTAGGACTTACCTGTTCCACCGGGATATTTCTTATCTTGTGCTGCTTTCTTCTTCACGCTTACACGTAAATCAGAAAACTTCCGCCTGACTTCAGCAACACTACGGGGAATTCGAGCCACAGCATTTACTGCCTTTAAAACTTCTTCCCAGGCATGATTCTTCAGTGTGACTGTATTTCTCGAGTCCAACTTCCCTAAGATCATTTTCTTTCTTTTTGCGATTTCACGCAACATGGCGTGTACTTCCTCCTCGCAGAAATTTGGTCGCCTCCTCTTTGCAGTAGGGCCTTCCATCTTTTGTTTACTAACTGCTACCACTTTCATTGATTCCAGCTGATTTATCTTTCTCTTGAGATTGGTTGATGATTTTGTTAACTCAGCGACGTTTGGCCAACAAGCTCTTGCTACACCATCTACCTTCGGACAAGAGAACTGAATTTACAGGATAAACAAAAAGTTACGGACTGCTTACGGAACCCGTCAGTCAATTTTGAGTATGAGAAATTAATGGAACTGTACCTTGCTACTGTATGTAACTGATGAGGTGTTCTGAGTATGCGGCCCCGGATGTTAATCAATTTACGGATCGTGTTCCGGGGTAATGGTTAGCCAGTGCAGTTGGCAAGTTGTCCGGTCTTCTCAGACTATTCCTTGACACTGGGTCATGCAACTCGTTAACTCAGGGTGTGGTTGTTGTGTTGGCAACAGCTTCTACACCTTAAACACGCCATCCTCATGACACGAGGGGCAACCATTACTATTACTATTATTATTAATCATACTTACTAAGCTTAGGTACTGCTGTGGTACTGGCTTTATACAAAATATAAGTAGAGCTCCTCCCCGACTTACGACCTACTCGACTTACGACCACCCACACTTACGACCTGCCTCAGTCGTACCAAAACTTTGTCAAATTACGTATTTTCGAGTCCCAAAGTCAGTGATTGCGCTGTGTACTGACAAAATTTTCGTTTGTAATTCACTTTAAAATGGCTGGCAAGCTTAAAAGTGAGAGCTTTGTGGTGCTGAGAAGAAAAAGAGACACCCATTTTAGATTTTCTATGAATTATTTAAGCATTTTCAACTTACGACCTGGATTTGGGTCCCTAACCCCGTCGTAAGTCGGGGAGGAGCTGTATTTAGTACAGCAGTAGCCAATAACAAATAAAAAACTTTCATGCTCCATTTCACAAAATGCTGCTCTGACAGGTAAGTATAGTCTTGTATCCTTTAAAATTAAATCAACCCCTCCTCCTTTACTTTATTATAAATGACCACTATCTGAGGCAGCTGTTTTACTGCACTCCTTCTAGTTGTCACCTATACATAGCCTGCCTTATCCACTGTTGACAGAAGAGTGGGCTGTCTAGATTTGTTTCTGTAGGTAACACAAAGTACAGGGCCACTCCTCTACTCACAAATCTCCTCGTTTTTCATTTTAGCCTTTACACATTCTATAGAAAGGCCCTTCCTGTTCTACCCGACAAAACAGTACAGTACAGTACCTATTGCAACAATATCTTTGCAAATAATTCCTTCACCCCTTGCAACTTCTGAGTCAGCAGCACCTTTATAAATTACAGAGGTGCAGGTGTACCCCAAAGCTGAATCACAGAAACATTAACCCCTTATGACAAAACTGGCTTGATTTTATTTGGCATGTATTGACGGAGTAGTGGCATCTTTCCCCTGTAACCCGTCATACTCTCATCAATAGAAATTGTTGTGAGAGGATGAAAATGATGTTTGAATTTTTCTACAAAATGATCAGTAACAGGCTGAATTTTACATAACCTGTTGTAATGTTTAACGGTATGTTGTGGGTATAGCAATATTATCTGCAAAGTTAATAAATTTTAGCAGGAGCCAAAACCTGTCCCTGTTGAAATGTTTGTAAAATATGGAGTGTCATAGAATTCATTACTTCTGCCCCAGTATGAATTTATACTGGGTTTTCTGACACTACCAATGTTTATTATTTGGCCAAGAAATGCTGAAAGCTCCCCTGATGTAATATTACCTTGCTTTATCCATTTATGGATACTGGAATGTGGATGCACTGCCAAGAGCAATACAATACTCTGTTATTCCTAATACAGTACACTGCTGAGTGCTGACTATTCCTGTTAGTTTCCCTCACAAATGAATCAATAAAAACATCATTTAGGAATAGTGTGAGGTATTCAGTTGGTGCAGCATCACATGTTGGGGGCCAGGTGTACCGGAGGGAAATCACACAGGCTCACCACTATAGTACTGTACTACTAGGGGTGGTGGTGGAGAGGGTGCCAGCCACACCTCTATCCTTATCACTCAACTCTTCACACTCTACTAGGAATAGCAGTAGGCAGTGTCACCTACATCAAAATGTGTCACCTTCAGTATTACGGTATGTGATGTAGAAGCAATTTTGTTGTTACTGACCCTGTAAAAGCTAATATTTACTGTAAAATATGAATTTCAATAAATTAATAGCCCATTTATATATATAGTCTTGGAAATGTCATGACTCTTATCACTACTATATAAGTTATATTCAATTAATAACTCATTATACATTTCATCACAAAGTTTCTGGTGTACAGAAGGTGTGGGGTAGCCTAGTTAACAGCATCCTTATAACAGAGGCCAAAAACATCTCACCTTGGGATCCTACATAGCAAACCACCATTGTACCAAAGGCACCAATGGTAGTCAATGGTTAGGTAAGTTGATAGGAACTAACAAAACCTATCCTAGATTAGGCTGGGTTATGTTAGCCTATGTTAGCAGAAAAAACTAACTTATGATCTTGAAAACAAAAATAAAAATTGTAGAGTATGAAAGAAAAGTGCTCATTCATCTTCCAGAGAAAAATTTCCTGAAGTTACTGGTTAAGGTATGATACCATCTTCAGTAATGTCTGAGAACAGGACTACCACCAGAAGGAGTTGTTCCATTTCATTCAGTTTTTCCACAAATGTTCTTATCACCATAGTAAGTATTTTAAAAGAGGCGACATTTACTAGAACCTAACCTAACCAGAGAAACCTACCTAACCTTACCTAACTTCCTAGCTGAGGGAAGACCCCTGCCATATTAAACAGAAAGTACTTATTTTGATGCCTGGTACAGTTGCGGAAATGTGTTTCTACACCCATGGTTACCCGTATCTTCAAACAGCACCGTCCCAGTAGTAGTATCACTATGATTGAATGAGTAGTGGTCATGTAATGATGGATGTGATTGGTGGATAGGTTTGCTATAGGTCATATAGGTTGGCCATTTGGAGACACGGGTTACCACAGAGTGTAGGAACACATTTAAGCAACTGTACCAATAAAATCAACTTTGTTGAAGTATCATGGTGTAATTTACCTTTTTTTCTTTTGTGAACTTGAGAGTATGCTAGGACTGAGCGGGTTGGTTGTAAACAAACAGACAAAACGCACCAACTCGGCAGATTTATCGGAGGAGTATTTTCGGTAAATATTCGTTTAATGGCTGTGGCTCCTTTTTGTGATGAGAGCAGGACAAGAAATTAAGGTCAAATTTGAACAAAACACACCTATATGCACATAAAAATCCTATTCTCATAAAAAATTTGCACTTCCAAATCACCGTTGAAACCTAACCAAACCTAAATAACCAAATACGAAAATTTTGCCACAGTCATTAAACGAATATTTACCGTATTTACAATAATACAGTGGTCCCTCGGTTAATGAACACAATTCGTTCCAGAAGGTCATTCGTTAATCGAAAATTTCGTTAACCGAATCTATTATTTCAATGGGATATTGGGTAACTGGTTGCAGCTCACCGAAAAGTACATACAAAGTAAAAAAAAATGCAGTAAGTACACTTACTTTGAGGTGTGTATGTAGAAGGCTCCTGATTGAAGATGATGGGAATTAGAAGTGGGGATGACAGAGAAGGGAGAAGAGAAGGAAGTGGGGATGGAGGAGAAATCACCTTCCAGGGGACCCATGCTTGATGCCATCATATCACCAATAAAATTTTAGGTTCACTAGGTGGAATTCAAGATTATTTTCTTTAAATCAACACTGCACTGCGCTATATATTATCAATATGTTAAATAAATTTCAGAATGATCAATAATTGTACAGTACAGTATATTCTCCATTTACGCGGTCAATTGAACCTGTGGAGGTCCGCGTAAAACGAGAAACGCGTAAACGAAATAACAGAACATATGGGATTAATTGAAATAGAGACTGGGCTGACCCCCAAACTACACTTTTTCCGACACAATACATACGTAAAAATAGTATTATAATTTTATGATGGTATGCACACACACATAATATAGAAGAGAAATATCAATAAGAGAATAATATACTGTACTGTACCAGGTAAAAGAAAAATCAAGGTTTAACACTTACGTTAATAGAAGAGATGGGTCGGCATACGGGAATGGCGGCTGGTTCCGAGGCCGAGGGCAGATTAGTTGCCCTCCGGTGAATCACTATCACTATTCACAAAGGTTTGCAGGGCCTCCCTGATAAACTCCTCAAAGTCCATATCCTCACTGTCACTATCACTGACTTGGGCTGGCTGTGGTTGTGGTGGGTTGCGGGCGAAGAAGTCCATAATACTACGTTGACGACTAGCACTGATGTTGTTGTGATACATCTGGACATACGGCTCCATAATTTTCGACAGAAGGTTATTAGACACTTCATACCAATGCTTGACTGGGTCTTTGTCAAGGATGAGCTTGATTTTCTCCCCCAACTCGATGAATTCCTTCACATTTTCGTGGCTTGGTCCCAGGTTCAAGGTTTTTCTGGGGTGGTGGCGGTCCAGCGGAAGCCATTGTGAGGGGAATAGCAGGCACAAGAGAGAACTGTATACGCAGAGAACTGAGAACAATGAGAGTGGCCCGGTTAGGTCAGCGACTCCTTCCCTCTGGTGGCAGGGCACGTCATGTTATATTAAACCAATCACAGCTAGCGGCAGAGGGAGGTAAGGATGCGTGACCCAATCACAGTCCAATACGTCATATGACATCAGCGATAACGTAAGAGCAACCTAATGCGCACCCGTCACCGCTTCCCACGTATGGTCAAGAATGGACCGCGTGAGTACAAAATGGCGCAGCGCATCTAGCCCTCTCCAGCTACTCGCCGAGTAAATGATGAAATTTACCGCGTAATCAAAACATTTCATTCTGGCAAGGCACTGCGTAAATGACCAAACGCGTAAACAAAATCCGCGTAAATCGAGACTATACTGTACTGTAAAAACGTAAAAATACTGTGTTCAAGAGAGCCACAAGCAAGATGTTTCCTCCACTGAACAGAGACACAAACAGATGCCTTGGTGGGTGAGTGAAGTGATTGATGGGTGCACCAAAAACTAGTTCTCTGTACTGCAATTATGTTAAATAATGTTAAAATGACTAATAATTTTAATATAAAACTTGGAAAAATATTGAATAGTACAACCTTCTTGATATTTACTCCAATGGGAAAAAATGTAAGCTCTAGAACCGATTACTGTATTGATGGACTAACCTACCAGCCGATGAGCAAGCCAAAACATGTTGATATGTTTTCGTAAGAATTTCGTTAATCAGATTTTTGTTCGTTAACCGAATTGAAGATTCTTATGGAAAGTAATTCGTTAACCGAAATTTCGTTAACCGATAGACCACTGTAATTCATTCTTCAAGTCCAAAGCACGTAGAGACATCCTATTGGTCAAACGATCAGTTTTCACCATGTTTTACCCAGCAATTCCCTTCATCCTTCATGCTCTACCCACTACAGGTGATTTATGATCATAGATAGAGAAAAACCAAATTAAAATAAAAAGGTTTTGCCTCTTTTAAAATACAGTACATACTATAACGATAAGAACATCTGTGGGAAATTATTCAGGACGTGACCGTACACTCTTTTTCATTGAAAATGGGTTTAAAAATACGTAGTGGATATTTTGGCATGACCGGCTAAGTACCTACTAATGCTACTTTACCGTGAGTGAACTCAGATTGGCTAAGTACTTTCTATTTAAAATGGCAGCGGTTTGCCCCCCCCCCCCATCCACCCCAGGCTAGGAAGTTAGGTAAGTTTAGGTACCGTAGGTTTCATTGGTTAGATCAGGTTCTATTAGATTCTAGTAAATGTCCCCTCTTTTATAATGATAAGAACATCTGTGGAAAAAATGACCCTAATCAAACAACTCCTTTTGGTTAGGCATGTTTGTAGCTACACAACGAATGACTCATAGCGAAATAAATGCCAAATCCTGCCAGAGTTACGCTCACATATCATTCTCATGTTGATTGCCGGTAATAAACGATTAGCCAATGAGACTACACTCACGGTAAAATAGCGTTAGTGGGGACTTAGTAAGTCACGGCAGAATATCAACTGCCTTAAAAATACCCCATTTTCACTGATTTTATTGGGGGATACTGCATTATGTTGTGGAAAAATATAAAAATGGTTGAAATTATGTGCTAACCTAACCTATATCTTAACTCGCCTGTATCTAGAAAACTAAGCATTGGTAAAATTATTATTAGTCATCCATCAATTTTTAGGATTTTAAGTTTTGGAATCAGTAGTTTAGACAATTCTAAGACATTAAGACATTTTTCTTCTATATCATTTCTTCCGCTTATGATTAATTTAAGAAAAAACTGCAATAAATTGTTGGAAAACCGTCATTTTTTCCTTCCTTTTTTCTTTTTATATTGTACAGGATTAGCCCACCTGGGCACAGGTCACTGACCCACATCAGGGTCTGGGGGGTGAAAATTTAATAATAATAACAGGTGGTAGAAGCGGTACCGTTCTTGCCTCGCAAGCGAGATGTCATGGGTTCGATTCCCGAGCCGGTGGAAGTTGTTTGGACATACTTCCTAGCCCCCATTAGTCCCTGTTCACCTAGCAGTAAAGTAGGTACCTGCTGTAAGTCGAAAGTTGCGAATTCGTATTCAGGGAAAGTTGTTGGAGCTTCCAATAACTTGATGACATAAACCACTGACTCTTCAGGCTTCTACACCCTTAAAACATGAGACATAAAGGCAAGCATGAACTTAGCATGCTTCCCTGTTGGGTGCTGTAAACGCTTCTGCGCTTCACCTTGCACAAGGATGTAGGGGGGTGCACAACAACAACAACAACAACAACAACAACAACAACAACAACAACAACAACAACAACAACAACAACAATAATAATAATAATAATAATAATAATAATAATAATAATAATAATAATAATAATCATTAGCTCATAATAAATAAAATTTATAAAAAAATTTAAATAAAATAATAACAACAATAACAAAAACAACAACACTGATGATAATAATAATAGAGATCCATAAAAAAATAAAAAAAATAAAAAAGATCAATACAGTATTGAGAAACAATATATGTATGTTGTGTTGTCAATAGTAAGAGAAACAATTGAGACCCTGCAATTGTGTGTAAATGAGGCAGAAAGACAGATCAGCAACCTGGGCTGGGTCACAATATTCATGATGCCATATGGCAGCAAGATCTACCATTAGACAACACATTATGCTTCCAATATCATCCCAGGCTGTAGTACCTCCCTGTTTGATAAATGCCATTGTTTTTCCAATGGTTTTGATCGAATCTGTCCTTCATTTCTACCGCTAATTACCATTTTTGAGATCCCCCCCCCCTTATCCAATAACAGGGGACACCCCAGTGGGAACCAGGGGTCTTGGATGGGGTAAAATCTTAAAAAGTAGTAATTTGCAATAGAAATGAAAGTCAGAATAATCCATAACCTAACCTAACCCAACCTAACCTAACCTAACCCAACCCAACCCTAAACCTAACCTATCCACCTGTGTGCTTACCTTAATTAAACTCGAAGTTGGGGTCATCAGGGTTCTCCTTGTCATCCACTGGTCACACTGGCTGCTGTTTCTCCGACTGCAGGGTGGGGTAGGTGGTGAGTGGGTAGGGTAGGACGGGGTAGGGTAGGGAGTAGGGGGAGGGGGGGGGGTGCGGAGGGTGGTGGGGGGGGCGTTGGGGGCAAGACCTTGCGGCAGTGAAGAAGAACTGGTGTAGAAGCCTGTCCTCGCTGAACTGCATTTTAAACAAGTACATGGTAGCGCACCAAGCACTGCTTGAAGTTGGCGGACCTGTTGCCAAGTCACTTCACCAACTCTGTGACATCCCTCCACAGTTGGTGTTTGTCACCTTTATAGCTACAAGGCTGGTTACACTTCACACAAGTAACCTAAGTTGGCAAAACACCATGTTGAAGGATAAATTTTCAAACTTCTCCGTCCTTACCGTAATATTCTACGTGAATTCTGGCGATGGCTTGGAAATAATTAACATCACAGCCATTGCAATAATGAAGACATTTTGGAACTAAATTCAAATTCAAGCCAATACCGAGCTGTGATTGGTCGATCCAAAATCATACCCACCAATCAACGTCCAGAGAATCATGCGTCAGACTCTAGCACATGCAGAATACAGCATACTACCCAACAAACGAACACACAGGAGCTCTCTGGGTCGGTGGAAACATCAATGAGATCTTAGAAGAAATACGACAATTTTCCAACAATTTATTATGATTTTCCCTTAAAGTACTATAATCATGAGTGGAAGAAACGCTATAGAATAAACGTGTCTTAGAATTGTCTAAACTACTGATTCCAAAACTTAAAAGCCAAAAAATTGTTGGATGACCAAAATGATAATACCTAAGTATTTACACAAGAAAATTAATTGAATTGGGTAATTATATAGGACTAACCCGCAGGCAAAATTGATTGAAAACAATTATAAAAACGCCGGATTTTCTTTGTTATATTATAGTGGACACTGTTGTAGTTGGGTCCGACTAATTACCCAAATGTAGCCGCAATGAAGTCAAATAATGGTCCTACATGAATAAATCGGACTGCCAATCACTTCTATACTGGTATTTGGTGTCACAAAGTAAAAATAAATTGGAAAACGTAATTTAATCTGAGTTAATAGATCGCGTGCATGTACCGAGGGAGCGAGTAATTACCCAAATGTACCCAAATGTAGCCACAATGAAGTCAAATGATGGTCCTACAAGAATAAATCGGACTGCCAATCACTTCTCGACTGGTATTTGGTGTCACGAAGTCACAAAAACTTGGTAAACTTAATTTAATCTGAGCTAATAGATCGAGTGCATGTACCTAGCCTAGCCTAGCCTAACCAAGCCTAGCCTAGCCTAGCCTAACCTAACCTAACCTAACCTAACCTAACCTAACCTAATCTAACCTAACCTAATCTAATCTAATCTAATCTAATCTAATGTAACCTAATGTAACCTAACCTAACACAACTCAGATTAAATTAAGTTTACCAATTTTTTGTGACTTTATGACACCAAATAATAATCGAGAAGTGATTCACAGCCCGATTTACGCTTGTAGGACCATTATTTGACTTCATTGCGGCTACATTTGGGTACATTTGGGTAATTAGTCGGACCGGTTGTAGTTTGTGGAAATATGTTAAAAAAAATTATATTTTTAAAATAAACGCTAACCAAACAAACCTACCTCACTTTACCTAACTTCCCCAGTATATTAAACAGAAAGAAATAACTATGATATGGTGAAATTTGAGGCATTTCAGGACGTGAGATGACATGGCCGTATTGGCGCTATGCAGCCCGGTGGGTTAGTCCTATATATTAACCTTGGATTGAAAGTAATCAGCGTACAAAACTGTGACTAAATCCACCCCCCATAAATACCAAAATACCTATGGTCACTTCTCGCATATTACCCCCATCTGTGAAAAAATAAAATCAAAATCGAACGACTACTTTTGGTGTTAGTGCTGTTCTCAGAAAGTACCCAAACCAAATCACTGAATCAATCTATGATTCATGAAAATATGATTGACTCACCTTATTTACCTTATTAATATCTTGACTTTGAATATTTTTGACTTGTGACCTCACTTGCTGATCTTGGACTCCTGCTCTGCTAGTAGACGAATCAAGAGCTGTCAGGTCATGATAGCCATCACCACTGTCATCCTCATCAATCTTCTCTGGATCAAATATCTCGTCACTTCCAGAGTCCAGTACTTGAAGGATGGTACGGCACTCAACGGGTGTAAATGACTCTTTGTTCACACTCATATTGATGAACAAGCTGTACAAGATGTGAGAAAAATAAAATTAAAGACCCAGAGTTATAAGTTTTTTAAATCCAACTTACCTAAATGACGGTAAAATGTACCAAGGAAAAATTAATATGCATTTAAATTAATCACGGTAGATAAATTCTGGAGCCAGTACTTGCCAACTTTAATTAACAGAGACGTGACCAACTGCAAAGACGGTTAACGAGCAGATCAGTGGTAAAGATTCTGAGGAGGATAACACTCTAAAATTACAAAAATAAATAAGTAGAAAAGTATAAGTGGCTTTAACAAACTCAAGTCTGGCGGACCAACGTTGTTTACACGGGAGCTTGACTCTGGTGCTGGGAGATGGCACAACCTGACCAGGGGCGGGGAGTTTAAAACACTATTATGTAAAAAATATAGACAGGAACTAATTTTAGTTTTATCCTCTTAACCACTCATCGGCTCGTTAGCAGCTTGGGCGATCGGTCACGTCTCTGTTACGCCCCTTGCCATTAATCACCACACATTGCTTGAGGTCATGTAGAACGTCTTCTATCCACGCTAGGACATTTCCCCGTATCCCGCACCCTTCCGGTTTGATTTTCAGCCTTTCGTGAGGTACACTGCCGAAAGCCTTGGCAAAATCTAGGTAAATATTGTCAATATTACCACCAATTCCAGAGTATGGGTCCAAATATCCAATACATTGAGCAATTGTGTTAAGCAGGAGCGCCCAGGCATAAAACCGTGTTGGCAATCCTTTACAACAGTGGTTCTTAACCTGGGGGGCGTCAGCCCTAGGGAAAAAGTAGGAATTTCTCTAATTATAATTATAGTTTTTATTCTCTTAACAAGAGCGTGGGCTAATATTGAGAAGTTTATGAAAAAATGCAAAAGTATCGCCTTATGACTTTAGTTTTCTATAGGGTACCATTTTCTGTACTTTTTGACCCCCCTCCCTATCCCTCGAAACCCATGGGGGGGGGGGGGGGGGGGTTTAACTCGTCCTGGACCTGTATACTGCTCGTTGGTGACTGGTGAGCCCCGTTCTCTCCCAGTCTTCTGCACACGTCCGTGGCAATAATTCTTCTTCTCTCACATTTATTTAGTTAAGGCTGTTGAGGTATGTTTTATCCCAGTTGTTATATTTACCTAAAAATAGTCAGCAGCCATAAGTTTATTGGTGAATTGTGAACACGCATGTGTTGCTCTGTTGGTTATTCGCAAGTTTTGAATTCCGTTTGTATTTTATCAGAAGTTGGTGGTGCTTAAAATCATGTGGTGGTAACAGGTGGTTATGGTAAAGTTGTATTTATGATGATATTGATTTGTTTCTTAATAATCATGTGGTTATGATCATGATGTGTTTACTATAATGTTGTGGTGTTTGTTAATATTTACTTAATAATTATGTGGTGGTGTTTATGATCATGTTGTGATCATTGATGTATGTTAATAATTATATGGTGTTTATGATCATGTGATGTATGTTTATGATATAGTGGTGTTTATGATCATGTATGATTGTAGTCTCTTGTAGTGTTTACGAACTTTACGATCATATGTTTGTTATTGATCATGTGGTTGTGATTATCATGATGTTGTGGTGTTCATGAGCACGTGGTGATGTTTATCTTACCTTACACGTGCCTTATGTTTTGTTCATAGATGCAAGGGGGGCGTGGAGGGAAGGACCAATTCCTAGAGGGGGTGTGGTAGTAAAAAGGTTAAGAACCAATGCTTTACAAGGTTGTTTCGTAGTAGATGTTCCATTGCGGCATCTCTGATAATACTCTCAAGTACTTAACATGTTATGCTGGTCAGGCTCACCGGTCTATAGTTGTTTCGTGGAGTGACGATCGACCTTCTTGAAGATAGGACTCACAAAAGCCACTGGGGACCTTTTATTCATCCAGGCATTTACAGAACAGGATCTTCAGGGGCTCGGCAAGCTCGTTGCACAACTCTCTAGTCTTAGCACTCTAGGATGCACCATGTCAGGGCCGGGACTCTTATGGACCTTTAGCTTTGACAGTTTATTTCTAATACCCTCTTCTGTGAACACAATGTGGGTCAGTGCTGTGTCGAACCGTCTGTCCTCAAACGCAGGAAGGTTAATCGCATCCTCTCTTGTGAACACCGAGGAAAAGAAGCTGTTCAATGCCTCAGCTTTATCCTTGTCAGAATCTGCGTAACTACCTTGTTCAAGCCTCAGGTCTGATACTCCTACTCGCGTTTTTATTTTCGACTTTACATAGCGGTAAAACGCCTTTGGGTTTGACTTGACCTCGCTTGCAACCAATGTTTGCCGATGACGCCAAGTTATTTCGGGAAATTAAGAACCAAGCGGACTGTGAAGAGCTGCAGAAGGACCTCTGTGGGCTCCAGGAATGGTCGAAGAAATGGCTGCTGAGATTCAATGTCACGAAGTGTAAGAGGATGCATCTGGGGCGTACCAACGGTAAGGAGGCGTATCATATGTCACAACAGGATTAAAAAACTGCAGAAGTTGAGACTGTGTATGAGAAGGACCTAGGTGTGTATGTTGACAATGAGCTGAAGATCTCGGGCCATTGCGAGAAGAAGGTAAATCAGGCAAATAAATTAGTTGGGTCCTATAAGAAGGTCGTTCAGAAATCTAGACGGTCCGTCCCTCGTAACGATCTTCAGGAGTGAAGTGCTTCCCCATCTGGAGTACTGTCACCCCATCTGGTCCCCGAGATATGCTAGGGACTGTTAGTTGGTTAAAAATGTTTAAAGGAGGGCCACCAGACTGGTGCCTGCATTTCGGCACCTCAGCTACCCTGAGAGATTGGAGCGCCTGAACTTGCCTAGCGTATATTACAGACGGGCAAGGGGGGACCTAGTTGAGGTGTATAAGCATCTCAAGGGGGCACTACTCAGTTGAGTGTCCTTACTTGGAGCTGGCGGACGCTCGCCCCACAAGGGGTCACAGCTCAAGATTGAAGAAGCAACAAGTCCAGAAAACTGTGAGGGCAAACTTTTTCGGAGTGAGGGTTGTAAACTCTTGGAACAATCTACCAGAAAGTGTTGTGACGGCACCGAGTGTGAGCTCTTTCAAGACAAGACTTGACCAACACTGGAGCGGGTTCAGGTACATTCAGGAGCCGGTGCATGCCCAGTACTTGCCAACAGTGCGTGACAGAGACGTGACCGATCGCCCGGGCGGCTAGCGAGCCGATCAGTGGCGAAGAGGATAAAAGTAAGTAAAGGGTCTTGCCTAGCATAGATAACCACACCCCTCTTGAAAGTTTCTCGAGAAAGGTTCGTATATGAGTCATATCCTGCAATACTGATCTCACATTCCTCTGGGTGTATTCTATTTAGTAAATCCTTTAGTTCCCATTTGTTGTGAGATACGTGGTCCCAGTTTAACTATTTAGGAGCATAGGTCTATTGTTTTGAAGTGTAATTTTCAAACCCTATTAGAAAGTGTTCAATGAATACAGTAACCGATAATAACTGTCCTAATTCACCCCCCCCCTCCCCTTATTGAGAAAGGTTGATTTGTTACTTTTATCCTCTCACCACTGATCAGCTCGTTAGCCGCTTGGACGATCAGTCACGTCTCTGTTTCGCACTGTTGGCAAGTAATGGGCATTCACCGGCTCCTGAATGTACCTGAACCCGCTCCAGTGGTGATCAAGTATCTTGGTGGTATGCCGTGATACAGTGACCCATTAGAAAGAACACATCTATCACATGTTTCCATTAGTGTCTCAGTTATTGCATGTTATTCCTGTTCCCCATTTATCATCGCCCCCGTCCATTCTTCCCCCCTCTCCCCTTTGGTGTGAAGCCAGCCTAACCACAAACCAGCCGTTAGCTCCCTCGCTCCTCCTCCCTCCTCTTACCCCCATCTCACCTTCATTTCTCGAATATACAGAGAATGAAAGAACGAAAATAGGGCAACAAAAACTAATACAAAATAAAAAAGGGTAAAATAAAAAGCATTTATTACAGTGTAGCTGCACTCCCATGGCGTTCACTACCGGATTGACAGGGTTTTCCCCGTTTAACGACCACGGTCATACACGTCGGTTAGCGCCAAAATCAAATGATTCATATTACGCTCAATAGCCCACAAAACATGTAACTCGGCTTTCGTTTGAGTCCTCCATCTGAGGAGTCCGTTTTCTCATCACTTCAAGACACCTGAGTCCTCCCTTATCCCATTTTCTCTGACTTACTGAAACCAACCTCTCTATAAAATGAATTTGAATATGAGAGAGAACGCCCTTGTTTTGAGTCAACTTAGATATGTTTGATTACAGTTAAAGCATACAAGATCCTTTGTGAGTGATGTTGAACACTTTAACTGTCTTTATTGTTAGTAACATTGGGTAGGTAAGTGAGTGTTGAGTCTGCCAGGACAAACGATACCCGCGGTTTCGTTCCCTAAGAATGACCATGAGTTTCCAATTGCTACTGAAGTCAGATTATTTTGTTGCCCAAACATCAGAGAATATGATGGTTGTAGTTTAGAGTTTGTCAGTTGTCTATTTAAGAAAGTCATTAATCTCCTGAACTATTCTGTCAACCTGTATAATCTCCAAGATCTAACGCCTCCCCGTGAATAGCTCCTTGTTCGCCTCAGGCCTGAGCTCGCAGAATTAATGTTATCAACGGGTATATTGTAGTGGATTCCTCCCCTACAAGCACAGAACCTTCTCGAATTCCCCAGCCTACGCCTCCAGCGCTGCCCACGGAGCGGGGGTCAACTATCTACCCACGCCTACCCCCGCCTTATAAGGCCTGACACCGCTGTGACCACTCTCTCTTTCTACACAGTGCCACCAGCAAGCAACACCACCTCCTCCGCGCTAGCCTTCCGGCTGCCGCTCCCGCCAGCGACCTTGGCGCCCCTCAAGCCGCGTGCCCTCACTTTGGGCACCCTCACCACCCAGCTCTCTCTACTCAACGCTTATTACCATGCTACCTACCCAGCAACAAGCTGCATTGTACATCCAATACAATATGTATACAGTGAGCACATTGTGAGTTTCCTTTCTCCATCCCATCCTGAGTGTGAACCAATATCTCATACCCCTACAAATGGTGACCCCGGAGTGACCACTCACACAGGATGGAGGAGAAACTGATCACTCTCCCAGTCTTCAAGCAACATGGAAGACTGGCTTACCCACGCAGAGGCAGCTCTCATCGGCTCTACAGCTTCTGTCTCTACACCGCAGGTTAGACACTCTAAGCAGACAGCCGCTCCTGTTCCTGCCCCAAGCACCACATCCTACCGACCTCAACACACCCGTCCTGCCTCAGACGCCGGCCCAGCAGTACCCCCTGCCGCTCCTCCTGACGCAGACCCACACACCGCCTCTTTTCTCCCTCAGGTACCCCCTGCTACTGTCCTGCACCCTGCTGCTGTCATGCACCCTGCACTCTTCCTAACGCAGCCCCTGCTCCTGACCCAGGCCCACACACCCCAGCAGGCGCATCTGAGGACTCTGTACCTGTGGCGAGGGAAGCACAA